ACACAAGACCTGAGCTGCAGGTCAATACTTTTGTCTCTGAGATGGTTTCTCACTTCAGACAGTCAGCTCAACAGAGAGCCAGCAGCTCAGAGCAACAAGCTGCTGAACCAGGAGACGTTCCCTGTGACGTCTGCACTGGACCCAAAGTGAAGGCCCTGAAGTCCTGCCTGGTGTGTCTGGTCTCCTACTGTGAGACTCACCTGGAGCCTCATCTGACAGCGTCAGGCCTGAAAAGACATCAGCTGATCGACCCTGTGGAGAACCTGGAAGGCAGGATGTGTACGAAGCACGATAAACTGCTGGAGCTGTTCTGTAAGACCGACCAGATGTGTCTGTGCATGCTCTGCACAGTTTTGGATCACAAGTCACATGATGTTGTTCCTCTAAAAGAAGAATATGAAAGAAAAAAGTCCAAGCTTGGGAAGACAGGGGCTGAAATTCAGCAGATGATCAAGGAGAGACGACTCAAGATCCAAGAGTTCAAAGATTCAGTCAGCATCAGCAGGGCAATTGCAGACAGAGAGATAGCAAACAGAAATCATGTCTTCACCAAGTTGAAGGAGGCTATTGAGAGAAACCAGGCCAAACTTATTGAGTCGACTGAAGAAAAGCACAGAATGACAGAGAAACAGGCTGAAGGCTTCATCAAAGAGCTGGAACAGGAAATCTCTGAGCTGGAGAAGAGAAGCGATGAGCTGGAGCAGCTCTTATTCTCAGAAGACCATCTTAACCTCGTCCAGAAGTTTCCATCCCTGGATGCTGCGTCACCCACCAAGAACTGGACACAGGTCAAAGTCTGTCTTCCTTCATATGAGGGGACTGTGAGGACAACTGTTGATCAGTTGGTGGAGATGTTCAAAAATGAGATGAAGAAGCTTCTCACAGAGTTTGAGTTAAAGACAGTCCAGCAGTCTGCAGTGGACGTCACACTTGATCCTGATACAGCACATCCCCGACTCATCCTGTCTGAAGATGGGAAACAAGTACATTGTGCTCATGTGAGGAAGAATCTCCCAGAAAACCCAAAGAGATTTTCTCGTGGTCTCTGTGTCTTGGGGAAGCAGTTTGTTTCTTCAGGAAAATTTTACTTTGAGGTTCAGGTGAAAGGGAAAACTAATTTGGCTTTAGGAGTTGTCAGAGAGTCAGTCAACAGAAAGGGGCCAATCACTGTAAACACAAACAATGGTTACTGGACAATATGGTCGATCAATGAAAATATCTGCCATTCCGTTACCGAGTCCTTGGTCCGTCTCTCTCAGAAGTCGAAGCCTGAGAAGGTGGGGGTGTTTGTAGATTATGACGAGGGTCTAGTCTCCTTTTATGATGTTGATGCTGCAGCTCTCATCTACATCTATACTGGCTGCTCCTTCACTGGAAAACTCCACCCATTCTTCTCTCCCTGTGCAAATCAGGATGGTGAAAACTCTGCCCCTCTGATCATCTGTCCTGTCAACTATACTTAGTGGAATGATGTCGTTTTCTGCAGACAGACTCACTTTGAGATGAGATGAGATAAGATGAACTTTCTTAATGCCAAAGGAATATTTTGCAGTTTTTGCTCCTTAAAGCAGCTGTGTGGAACTTTTTACTATTAATAAAACTGTCCCTAGTTCGTATTACCCCCCCTTGAAGATCCGCATATTTATTTGAACCCAACAGCGATAAAAAAGCCTTTCTCTATATGGCTCTTTAGCATAGCCTAGCTCGGGTCGGACACACAGCGGAAGTCATCAAAGCAGAATACAGCACCCGATGCAGAAGTGATTCTGCTCGCCCGCAGCGGCCCGCAGCGATTAAACCTCAGAAGAAGAAGGAGCCGTGTTTACAGTGTGCAGTACGCAACGGGCATTGCTGAACACATAACACCTAACAGTTTTACCAGAGATGTATCTATGAGGACTTGGTTGTACTTTTGATGTTGTGGCGGATAACGAAGGAGCATCATGTAAAATTATCTGTTACTGTGACCATGAACACAAATATACAGCAGGCAGTTGTCCTCAGTTTGTAAGAAATTCAGAGCTACACCAGAACATTTATGAACAGGTCTTACTTTACTACTAATTTGTGTGTAACTTTAGCATGTTAGCATGTTTCCACTAATTACTTGGACTGACCTAACGTAAGTAGCGTTAGCTTTGCAAGTGAAGGCTGCAGGTAACAGCTTTGCTGTGTTGGGATTATGTTATGTCTTCCCTGTGTATCTTCACATAAAAGAATACTCCAACGATTTGGGAGTTATGCCCTTTCTCTATCATTTTCATATTGAGACAACATGATCAATATCTTTTTTGTGCCTGTACGTACAGTGGCTGGGTCTCAGCGGTTAGCATTGCGCTTATAGGGGGTCAGTACGTCCTGCGCTGTGATCTGCGGAGGGATACACCGGTGAGCAGGCACAGATGTAGCTTGTAAACAAAACTCAGCTGTTTATTTAGCCTAGCGATATGTCCGGATTTTGGTAGCTGCAATGGACGACTTTGAACGCGATTTTGAAGAGTTTCTTGTAGCGGACACAGATCCAGAGCCATACCTGTTTGAGCCGGAGTACACAGATGAGGAACTCCACGTGTTGAATGCGAGAAGACAGGCTGAATCCTCCGCTCAGAATGGGATTCGGTGCTGCCATCGTTGGGGAGATATATCATCAGTAGGAAAAGCGCCGCAGAGAGTGCATCACAAGGAGTGAAAACTTTGCAGCAATCACTAATCCTGGCGTGATTTAAACTTTTTTTCATGTTCCTAAGATGAACTGGAAAAAACGCCCCAGGCCTGCAGGAGCTGATGGACAGCTTTCAGTTGGGTGAGTAATATCGTCCGTGTCGTCTCTCTGTTTGCTTTACCCAAGTGACCTAGCGTACCTGTCCCAGAGTCAGCTGCAGCTGTTGCTCACCGGTGTATCCCTCCGCGCAAGATGCACTGACTGTGCCATGCTAACCGCTGTCTCAATATGAAAATGATAGAGAAAGGGCATAACTCCCAAATGGTCGGAGTATTCTTTTCACATAATAATGCGGACTCAGTAGATGACTTGTTAACTGTTTATTCCTCCTTACAGCGAACGTACACAGCTGCTTCTCATTGTTTCCAGTAGCACAACAAGGGTTACTACATTACCCAGAATAACTTGAGGCTCACACTACTACGGTAGCCTTGGTAGCTCAAAATACACAACAGATTAGATTAGATCAGAACAGAAACACGACAGGAGAATTTACTGTCATTTCGCTGTTTCCACTAATTACTTGGACTGACCTGACGTTAGTTAATCCTCTCGCTCTCCAAAACAAATGCATGCGGTAATTTCCGGCTGCAGTCGGAATTTTACAACACCAGGCTGTGGGTGCCATACCGCTTTGACCAAAGGGGCGCTATAATCAACAAAAACGAAAAGTTCCGCAC